TGATCGCACTGAGAAGTTGAATTTCTGTGAATCGATCAGAACAGTTTGCGGCGAACACTTTGGCTTGGATACCAGTGTGGCTGCAGGGACTCATACCTTCATGAAACCGATCAATCAGTCGCTACCTTTCCAGGGTATGAAGCCTCCGCGCCTTCCTGACTCCTCGACAAGTTGGTCACTTAGATTTTCCAGCTCCTTTTGCATCAACCCAGGACTGGCGTTCTCCTGGAAATTTTCAAAGTCGAGCAATTTTATCCCATCTTCCTGCACTATAAAGTTGTGTCGGTTCACATCTCCATGTAACAGGCCCCGTTCGTGAATCTTTTTCAGAACGGCCTCACACGCACTCAGATCGTGGATGGAAGCATGGCGTCCTTCCAATTTTTGAAGCAGAAATCCCATGATGCGTCCATTCTCGTGGATATGAGCCAGGAAACGTGGCACCAGACCAGAGCCATCCAGTAGCTGATAAGCTATCGTTTCTTGTTCAGTTCTCGGCACCTCCCACTTGAATCGGGCTATCTTAGCGATCACAGTAGTGGGCGATGAGGCATCGAATGTCGGGATCGAACTTGGTGTGATGACTTCAAAGGCCGACACTGTGAGTTGTTTAGATCTCTCCAGCTCGAGGCAGTCAACGCTAACAGGATGCCATTTGGACCCCAGACAGAACATGATTGGAGAATCCAGTTCTCAAATCACCAGTCGCTTTGTCTCGGGAGCTCTTGGCCATGGTCCATTCTCCAGTCGGAAGTTTAGGTAAGGACTGCAGCGGTAGTGATCACGTGTCTGGGTCAAATGTCCCTGGGGAGATGGCGAGGTATTTGACCTGCGATCCGATGCGTAGTCGGTAGTAGCTATCCCAAGAATCGTCGTCGCCGACCTCCATAGATAGTATGACGGGCTCCATGAGTGAAATCAATCGACTTGGCCGTAAATCAGTAAATACTTTAGGTATCAAAGTCGTTAGCGTTTCTGGTCTGAAGAAAAGCCAAACCCGGAAGGGAGTTCTCAATCGTGTGTTGATACAGATACCTTACCCTTCCAAGTTGGTTTCTCATGGGAGTGCTTTGAATTGGCCCCGAAGTAGCTCTCCTGATGGAATCGAGCTGGTGTTCATCTGATTCTTCATGTTCCTCACCATAACTTGCTTATGACGGTTGCGAAAGAGGTGTGGGGAAGGTAGCTTGATATAGGTACCAACAGTTATGGCAGTTGGTCCAGAAGCAGTCAGGCCCCAATGCACAATGCGAACCGTCACCAATGCGAGTACATCTCGGGGGAGATTCAACCTCTGAATGGCCACAAATAAGTCAGGTGAGCCTGTGTGCATGAGAGGTGTCACCAAGTCGGCCTGTTGAAGCCCTGTCGCATCTCTTGACTGGTTCTCCATGACTCGGAGTATTTTTTTTTTCTGAGGAAACCAAACGACTGCGGACATGGAGCAAGTATGTGACAAGAAGCCTTGTGCATTCATAGAAACGTTTGTTGATTGAAAGTTCTAGGCTCGCAATCTTTCTATCTGCGTGGCCCATAATGATAATCGTAGATGGTGTGGACTTGTGTTGCGGCTTGATAGCCTTGAATTCAGTTGGTCAATGTCGCACAGCTGCCTCCATGTTGCCATTGTCCAGTTCGGACAGTTTAGAGCCCAAGCCAGACGACTTCCAGCGTGCAATCTTCTCAGCTCTTCTAAAAAGTCAATTCTGGATCGGGGAGTAAAATATACTCCGAGTTCTCCGCCGCAGGTGAAGACACTTGTGCAGAGGACCATGACGGCCATCAACAGATTAGAAGTGATGTGTTTCGAAACATTGTAGTTGTGCTCTCGCAAAAACGTCAACATCTTGGGCAGCTAGACTTCGGACGTCCTGTGATCCAGCAGACGAGAAGTTTGGTGAACGCGGCGCATGAGGGAAGGCCAGGGAGTTCTTCCACAGACTTGGAGGCTCGTGTCCAGGTTCCAGATCTTATACAGCTTCCAGTTCTCTTATATCGTTGCCATGACCTGACCTATCTAGCCACAGACGTGTTCGTCCCGTCTCCAGAGCTGAAGAGAGCGAAGTTCATGACTCTATTTCTGCGATAATTTTGCTGGGGTGTGATCTGGCTAGAATGAATCAAAGTGAGAGCTCGGTGCTGCAGGTACGATACGACATCGAGGGAGGCGGGAACCGAGCAACAAAGGTGCCCTCGCTGGGGACCTCTCACCAACATGGCTGCTGTCGACGGACTTGGTGACGTGCGTTCAGATGCTTGGTAATCTTCCTAGGTGATACGGAATGGAGAAATCGCAGCCAGATCGTGATGCGGTCAGTGGAGGGTGCTGGAGGGGAGATGGGCGGAATCGGGTTGCTCTCTGCTTTGGCTGGAGCGGTCATTGAGGTAGGTAGTTGATCATCTTGTCGGTGTACCCGTCAGCTGAGTACCAAGGCTGCAGGAGCTGTCTCACGAAGCGATCGTCCTCGATGTGGACCCGGCTGTAGTACGACTTGGAAGAAGCGCATGGGTTTTGGTGGCGGGATCATTGTATTCTGGCTCCCAGTCTGTGTCACTCTTGCTAGGGGTGGATGCCCCATGGCACCTGCGCCCATGCCACTCCAGGGGCAGGTGCCTTGCAGGTGCCTTGGGGCAGCCACAGCAGCATCGTGCAAGAAGACACATCTCGTGACCCTGGGTACTTGCACGAGGCTGCAAACGAGGCTGCAACCAAGGCTCGACCATCAACCATGCCAACCCAACCCGGCCGACAAGACAAGCAAAAACACATGCGATATGGATGGACCCTGGCCGCCGGACGAACACAAATCCAGGCACGCCGAATGCTGCAGCTCGGAACGCGGGGCACTAGCGAGGCAGCCTCATTGGCCCAGCGCACGAGTCGCGGATAATGTGCTGAACCCCTGCATCGGCTGGCTGCTGTGCGTGCGCATGGACCCTTTGGATCCCAAATCCCAAACCCCAAACCTCGACAATTACATTACATTCACCGTCCCTGTCTCCCCATCCATCCATTCCTCGCGCTTTCTTCGACTCTGACTCTCCTCTGGCTCTGGTCGCACCCCTCGACAGGTGATCCGACCCCACGACCAGCACGAAACTTCAAGCCACGTCACGTACGACCGCAAGGCAGGGCAACAAGGCCTGACGCGCGCCTCCTCGTCTCTTCGTCCATGCCCTTCTCGAATCGCACCACCGCCAAAAGATCATGATCTGCACCACGTGCCGACTCCGACTCCGACTTCCTCGCTGACGCCCATCCCGACGTTTCTCCTGGGCGGCCACCATCAAGATCCTCTGCCGCCGCCGCCACCACCGCCG